GACCTCCAGATAGACACTGGTATAAGCAGGACAACAAGCCCATGGCTCAATATTCACGGGTGACAACACCTGCAGTGGGCTATGAATCCCTAATTACAGCTAACAATCTAGAAATTGTGAGTCCGATTGCCCTAGTCTTTGTCAGTAGTGTTAAAAGTTCATATCAGCAGCCTTTGTGGACAATAAATGTGATTTTTCAGGGCTCGCACATTCGATGAGGCGCTATTGGAAAGCCGGGTTTCCAGCTAAACTACCATTGGCACTACCATGTCACTATATGAAAGAAGTGGAAAAGGAAGGGAAACTGTGTACATTATCTTACTTTGAACGTCCAGTTCGATGTCGATCTTCGAGCGTCCGACGACGTTCCTTGCCACACACGTGTAAACGCCCTCATCGTCCCTCTGTAAAAGTCCAAGAGAATTAAAAAATACGTTATTATTCTCTATTACCCGAAACACGCTCACAAAAGCTATGCTGAAACAGCTCCAATCTCTATGGCACGGCTGAAGATGTCGACTAAGCTGCTGCGAAATGACTATCTTATAGGCGCTGGAAGGTAACCATGAAAATAAATGATGCGCTATCACCCCCTGGAGATTTCGCTTTAACTAAAGAGGGTAAGTTAGTTTAAACAAAACTTTCTCACAATATCAACAGTTACGCTGACCTGCCGTGAAAACTGCGGCGTTGTCCGCCTGAAATACCTGAATTGTTATAGGTCAACATCAGTCGGCAAGTTGGCAAAACAGGCATATTGTTCAACACCGACAATAGCAAGCAAATTTGCAGAGACCATTAAAAGACCCTGAATATTCCGTTCAGGCATCCATACACTTCAGAAGGAGAAGATACGATCGCTGGAACGGCAAGTTTAGTGGTCTGACGTTTCGATTTCTCACCCTAACCCATCATCAGAGACAATCACAGATAAAGGTGATAGATGCACAGGGTGCGCAGTATTTGTAACCCGTAGTGATCACGCGACCACATGTTTACTGCAATTTTCAGCCGGCGTGATCACCGCTAGGGATCATAATTTATGTGATGAGGGCTTGATAATCCGCGTCCGAGTCATTAGTTGTCCGCAATTTACCATCCGTGTTGGATGTTGGCGTGATAATTACGCGTAAATTTGACTTGATGTCGTGGAAGTTGTTGATCACCCGCGCCCTCACCACGTAACTGGTTCGTCTGCTCAGGCAGTCTCAGTACAGAATAAGGGAACGACAAGTCATCACGCTTGTTGATTGACCGCAGGCCTGAGAACAGTGACTCGAACAGCTCGCGGCTCACGTGGTTGTCACCTCGTGCAAGGATTGCGACCTCGTTGAAAGTAGAAATATGGATGGGTCCCATCGAATGAGCTGCCAACCGAGAGCAAGCATCTTTCCGC